TATATGGTCAATGATGTCAACTGAAAGACCCCATGCCTTTGTTTATATCGGCTGTCAACCACCAGAGCTGTAGATGGGAGTGAAATGATTGGACCAGATGTATGTTTGAGGGGTTTTTTTGTTTTGTGTGTTTTTAACTTTCGGCTGGTCAACAGGCATTGGGCATTGTGATTGGAATGTTACTGCATAGCTGGACAATGTGATTGACATAGGTAATCATGTCATCCAGCAATTAGATCCATGTCAATCATGATACCTGGTACCCAATGACCACAGAGAAAAAGCCATCCTAAAACTGATATATACATCTTGTCTTGTCCTTTCACTGCCACTGAATGACAGACCCAGCAAATGACAGCTGTTGCATGCAAAGGCGCAGGGTCTCTTAGTTGGTCTTTCACCATACACTGATCAGCCATAACATTATGGCTACCCACCATAACTTATTGATGCATGGACTCCACTTAGCCCTCTCAAAGTATGCTGTGGCATTCGGCACCAAGCTGTCAGTAGCAGATCCTTTTAAGTGTTGTGAGGTGTGGCCTCCATGGATTGGGCTTGTTTTTCCAGCACACCCCACAGATGCTCAATTGGATTGAAATCTGGAGAATTTGTAGGCCAAGTCAACACCTCAAACTTCTTGTTGTGTTCCTCAAAGCATCCTTGAATTCATCAGACCAAGCCACCTTCTTCCATTGCTCCGTGCTCCAGTTCTGATGCTTACAGTCTCATTGTATCCACTTTTGGCTGCAGACACGTGTTTTCATTGGCACCCTGACTGGTCCCCCCCATACACAACAAACTGTGATGCACTGTGTGTTGTGACACCTTTCTATCATAACCAGTATTAACCAGTTCTCCAGTTTGAGCTACAGTAGCTCTTCTATTGAATTGGACAACACGGACCAGTCTTCGCTGCCCATGTGTATCAATGAGCCTTAGCCATCCAAGATCGTGTAGCCAGTTCCTTAAGTTTCCTTCCTTGGACTGCTCACTGCAGAACAGGAATATCCCACAAGAGCTGCAGTTTGGGAGTTATTCCTACTCAGTCATTTAGCCATTACTATTTTTGGCCCTTGTCAAAGTCGCTAAAATCCTTACACTTGGCCATTTTTATCTGCTTTCAACACATCAACTTCAGAGACAACATGTTCACTTGCTGCCTAACATACCCCACTCACTTTCAGATACCACTGTCATAAGATAATGAATGTTCACTTTGCTTGTAAATGGTCATAATGTTATGACTGACCAGTGGATATGGATATGACTAAACATGTCCAATGGCATCACAAGGACTAAACTCCTGCCTAGTAAGTAAACCTTTGGGCGCTCATCAGAACACCCAAACAGCCAAGGTTTAGTCTGAATTTTTGTTCGAACCGAACCTTAAGATTATCCCTATTGAAGATTTTTTCCTGATAACTTTTTCCTGTTTCCTAAGCACTGGTCTACAAGTGCCATTAGTTAATATACAGCCCTGCTCTCCTTTGATCCACAAAAAATTTCCAAGCCTTTTTATGATCACTTTTGTGACCTTTTCTCAAAACTGGAACTGTGTGCATGTGTTTTGAGGTAGTAAGCAGCTAGCAATGTAAATTATGACTGGCAAGAGGCTATAGTTTAGACATGTACAGGACGAAAAAAAATTTGTTTCTTTCAGATCGATTCGTTAAGTTACTAATTTTGTTTTGTTGCATTCTTAATTCAATTAATTTCACTTAGTTCCATTTATTCCTTTTTGACTGGATTCAAATTTTTCCAATGGCTTTGAAGCATTCAAATCGAGCTTGAATCGAAAATATAGAATCAATCCAAATTCATTGTGAAGAATAGCTGGTTCTATTCTATTTGAAATTCTAATTTCTATTCTCTTCTCTTTTTTTCTTTCTCCTCTCTTCTTTTCTCTTCTCTTCTTTCTTAATTTCTATTCGATTTTATTTTCTATTCTCTCCTTTTCTATTCTATATGTTCTATTCTGTTTAATGCTATTCTTTTTGAAATGTTGAATTTCAGAAGACGGACATATTCTTTGTTTTGTTTAATTCTATTCTAATCTTCTCTTATACTATTCCTTTATTTTCTGTTCTTTTATTTTCTATTATATTCTTTTATATTTTAGAAGATTCATTTTATTAATTTTGGGAGATGGCTATATTCTAACACTAATGAAGGAAATCAACAATATGTTTATATTTTGAATTTGTTTTCGAATAAGATTTAGTTTTCGAATTCAATTTGAACTCTATGCAAATTTTGTCCGAAATTTTGTTTTGTTATTTCGGATTAGTTTAAATTAGTTCCTATTGTAATTCAGAAATTCAAATCTCTGAATAACGTAAATTTCTTCTGAATTTCGATTTTGGAACTAAATGAAACGCATGTCTACTATAGCTGCACTTTGAGGAATGTTCAAAGTACTTCACGGTAAGACTGTACAGGTTTATGGCACAATTTAAAAGGGTATTTTGTGAATTTAGCAAAGTGGTCATGTTTTTCAAAGGCATAAAGTTTACTGAATACTTTGTTTTATGGGTTACTCTCTAATGATGCTCCCTTCCATGTGGACAGTTTTTCAGGTTGCAACATTTTCGATTAAATGTTTAATATAAGTCATTGACATTATTCTAGTCAATAGCTAGAAACCAGCCTAATAGATTTTACTGCCTTGTATTTAATGTTTTATTTATACATTTTGAAAGGAAAATTGTCTAAATCTGAAACTACACTGACACATTAATAGACTATATATTCTTTTTATATTTTCCAGACAGGTAAAGCCATAATGTTATTATCAATAACTGAATTAGGCGAGTTGTCAAAGTGCTGAGCAGCTTTCAACAGGGGCATTACAATGAAAGTCATCAACATTTAGCAGTTTCCTTATTAAAATGAGGAAGGCTGGCTAGACTACCTTGTTAATCAAACAAGCTTGTCTACAGTCAGGAGATATATGGCAATGTATCAAAGGGTCATACACACAAATGGGCATGCTGAGAGTCAGTAATAACCAGACATACAGATGGACAGGACATGAAAGTGTTCCCAATGTGAAACCTTAGCAGATGGAGGCACAGATAGCTAACTGTATCACACACAGATGCTCTGACTAGGAAATGTACACAAGTATTTACTTTCTTTTAAATTTGAATAGCTGTACTGCTGAAATACTATTCACACATTTGTTTGGATTTATTAAAAAAAGAAATTCAAAATCCACCTACATGCACACAAGCCAAAAGCTATAGTTTTTGCAGTATTTTACACAAATGCAGCTATTGTGAGCAAAGCCACCCATACTAATTCTGCAGTCAGTGGTTCAAACTACTGGTGTTCAGATTTCATGATGAGAGATTGTTCAGATATAGGTCAGCCTTTCTCAACCTATTTACCCCAGAGAAACCCTTGCAATAATGTTCAGGTCTCAAGGAACCCTTGCTAAAAATGATTATAGCTACAGCTTACAGTACATCAGCATGATCAGTGAGTTGTGAAAAGCTTTAATAAGAGTAGAGAGTATGGAGTACCCTAAGAATCTGACACCTAGGGCAGACTATTTTTAGCACCTACCTGTTGTATACAACACTCTTTTTTTTGTAATAACCTTGAAAATGAATTCATAATAACAGAAAAGGAATGCAGACTTTGTCAATTGTGTTGTCGCCTAAAGTAATACTAAAGCTGCTTTTTTTTTTTTTTTTTTTTTTTTTTTTTTTTTTAAAAACAACAAACATGTCATACTTGCCTGTTTTGCACACAGCTGCCCTGAGCCTCTTTTCAGGTCCCTTGTCGGTGCTCCTGGCTCCTACCCCTTGAGCAGTGCCCCCAGAGAAAGCTGCTTACTCACGAGCTGCTGCTCTGTGTCCATAAGACACAAAGAGCTGTGCCCCCACCCTTGCTCTCTCCTCAGAGGCGTTACTAGAGGGGGCAGGGGGGGGTACATATGTACCCAGACGCCAAGGTACAGGGGCGCCAAAGTGAGGCTTACAAACAGGGGCGTATTTGTCGCGAGGCAAACAAGGAGTTTTCCTAGGGCGGCACTTTTTAGGGGGGTGGCGCGGTGCCGCCGCCCCCCTTCCAACTGAAGGGACACTTAGTACAGGAGTGGGCAGCTGTGTCTTACCTGGCTCCGTGTCCCAGTCCCATGACGATCCAGTCCAGGAGACGCTGCTGGAGGAGGGGTAGAGAGGTCCGCAGGTCCGGTGTCTTCTTTTCCCTGGACGCGATGTGTGGGCGGGATGACATGCTGCCCCTGTCATCTGGCCACACCCTCGGGATCACTGGACAGCCTATGGCAACTTTACCTCCCTCTGCAAGCTCCGCCTCCCCACAGGTGATTGGATGCCAGAACTGTAGCTCAGGAAAGGCACACAGATGGCCAATCACCTGCGAGGAGGCGGAGCTTGGAGAGGAGGAGCCGAGCGGCAGCCCGAAGATCGAGTGAGGGAGCGGCCAGAGCAAGTGAAGAAGACAGCTAAACCAGTCTGCCATGCAGATGGTGCTGCTGCAACCATGTATACAGGCTGTGAATGGGAGAGGGAAGGAGCCTAGGCTGGAGCAGGGGTCAGCAAGGTAAGTGTCACTGGTGTCAGTGGGAGAAATAGTGCCCCATCATTGGTGTCACTGATGTGATTAAACGAGCAGGGGGGCTGGGGCACCAATTTTACAGTTCGTCTCTGGGCGCAAAATATCCTAGCTATGCCTCTGTCTCTCCTCATTGGCTCACTGACCTTTACTGACAGCAGCGGGAGCCAATAGGCTCCCACTGGTGTCTCAGTCAATGAGGGGGGAGAGTTCCATTACAGCCGAGGCTGTCATGAACATTGCTGGGGGTGCTAAGGTAAGGATTGGGGGGCTGGGGGGGACACAACACACAGAAGGTATTTTGCCTTCATGCATAGAATGCATGAAGGTAAAAAACCTTGAGCCTTTAGAACCACCTGGCAACCGTGCTATAGCCGAATGACGGATACAGCGAGTTTGTCCACTTCTGGGAGGGCGTCATATGACGTCCTCCCAGAACACGCTCTCCTGCGCACCCCCAGCAGCCCGTACCCGGCAATCTCCATGGACACAGCTGATCACGTGATGTGGTAAAAGGCCAATCACAGCAGCCTTTTGCCACATGATCAGCTGTATCCAATGACACAGCAGCTCACCGGGTAAATACAGTTGCCAGTTATTGGCTGCACTTTCCTCACTTTGTCACAGCGTGAGGAAAGTACTGCCGATAACTGGCAATTGTCAGAGAACAGATCGGCACTGATCATCTGGGCACTGAGGAACAGTGCCCAGCAGTGCCACCCACCTGTGCCCAGCAGTGCCGCCCATCAGTGCCCATCATTGCTGCATATCAGTACACCATCATTAGTGCCACCTCATCAGTGCTGTCTATCAGTGCTGCCTGTCAGTGCAGCCTCATCAACGCACATCAGTGAAGGAGAAAAATTACCTGTTAGCAAAATTTTATAATAGAAACAAGAAAAAACAGTTTTTTTTTTTTTTGTTTTTTTCACATTTTTTGGTCTTTTTTTGTTTATAGTGCAAAAAATAAAAACACCCAGTGGCAAGTAAATACCACCAAAAGAAAGCTCTATTTGTGTGAAAAAAATTATAAAAATGTCATACGAGTACAATATTGCATGACCGAGAAATTGTCATTCAAAGTGCGACAGCTGTGAAAGCTGAAAATTGGCCTGGGCAAGAAGGGGGTATAAGTGCTTGGTAGGCAAGTGGTTAATTTTGCTGGCCAGTGGAAAATTGTCCCTTTGCACTGATAGACAATGTAGACTTGTAATCAATCCACCACTGATCAAGGAATCCCTAACAGCCTTAAGAGAAACCAGGATTGGGGTATAGATAAGTGATATTAAACTTTTAATTACAGTATTTATTTATTGATAACAAGCATGTTTAATTTCCATGCTCTGTACAATGGTTTTGCACCCCCGATCCTCTTTTTCTGAGGTCCCCTGCTGACACTCCTGGTTCTTCCCTTCTTCCAAGTACCTCCCCAGCAAGCAACTTGCTGAGAGGGTATACTTGCAGGCTTTCTCTTAAGCCCCGTTGCTTGTGTCCATTGACACAGAGGGTGGGGCTTTGCCCTGCCTCTCTTCTTTGTCATAGGATTTGTTTGACAATCGTAGGAGCCAATGGCTCCCACTGCTATCAATCTGCCCTGTGAGGAGGGAGAAAGTGGAGAGAGATGCTGCTGTCATGCACAGCACTGGATCGTGGTAAGAATAAGGGGAATAGGGGAGATCCTGCAGTACAACAGATATTCATTTTTTTTTTTCTCTTTTCATGCTCTGCATTGAGGTAAAACACCTTAGAGTGTTACTAAACCCAGGACCCTGCATTCACTCTATCTGGTCTCCCACACTACACAGAACATGGAAATGCAATTATTTCAGTAAATATAAACTGCTAAATACCTGTTCTCATCAGCAGTTCGAGCAGTCTTGTGACTTCTATCGTTGTGCAGCAGAGCACTGGTTAAAGCTTGAAGGAGAGGTTTTCTTTTGCTCTAGGAGGATGCAGAACTCCTGACCTCTGTCTGGACAGTGCTGATTGGCCTTGTGCTGATAACATGCACTCTCCCAAGAGAAAAAAAAATAAAACCTCTAGCAATTCACACCAAACGGAGCTTGTGCACAGAGTATCCACACCATATGTCTTATCAGGAGATAAGGGGGGGGGGGGGCACTGGAAGACAGGAAGGATCAAATATTTCAGGATCAAACCGCATTTTTTACACAATGCAGAGGACCCCTTAGGTTCCACAGTCAGTATAACACCCATGCTTTACTGCATATACAGACTGATTTTACTGCTGTGGGTTTAGTAACACTTTAAGGCTTCAGAACCACTTTAAAGTGTGCACACATATGGCCCACACTCCAGTTGGATTTGCAGTAACCAAGTGACCATACCTAAGAGAAAGTGGCACTGGACACATGCACACAATCACAGTAAATATCACCCGACTACTTAAAGCAATTCTGTGGTGGTGTGCGCTAAAAAATAGACCTGATGCTTTTTTATGCACTGCAGCATTTTGTAGTGCATTGCAATGTGCAGCAAAGCATACAAATTTAATGAACTGTCAGTTTGTTACATTTTAATAGTTACATAAAAAGCAAAAAAAATTCAAATCTCTTCTCTTCATAGTGCACACCAGTGGTCTGCTGGTGTAAACGACCCCCCTGTGGACCCTGTTCCCTTGTGATTCTTGTGCTGTGCTATTTTCAGTCCATTCATTTGAATGGGCTGAAAATGCACTGGATCTCAAAAAATCTTTTTAAAAAATGCACTGCACCAAATCGCATGGTACTGCGGTACCACGCAATCCAGTGCATTCAAAAGCATTGTCTTTGCAAAATGTGTTTGGGGTATCGTTAGGAATATATTGACACCTGCTGCAGATCACACACCCAGTGGGTATTGAATAGGGTGTGGGAAACATGTGCAGAACTCAAGTTTCCCACACCACATTCTGTTTTGGACAAGCCCTTACTGGTTTTTGTTTTTTTTTTTTAGTTTGTGAGCTTTGTATCCAGAGCTGATGATAAAGCAGTACAGTTGGCCCTCTTTACTGGGGTCGAGCCCCATCAGTTGGACAGGGGAGCACCTGCCAAGGTGGGCTGGCTGTACTGCCTTGTGATTCTTGTGGATCCCTGTGCAGAACAGTTCCCAGATCTGTGCCCCTTTCCCCCTGCTGTACTGTCCCCCCTATGTCCCCCCCCTCCCCAACAGTGCTGCCGGCTTCTCTCCTCTCCTGCCAGCAGCTGCTGAGAGCACACAGGTGGGTTGTTTCAGGATGGAGAGTGGGGGGCCAGTAAATACGTCATATTTACTGAATGAACACATTTAGGAAAGTGTCCATTCATCACTGAAGCATAGTAAGTTTTGTGGTTACTATGCTTCAGTTTGTGAAGCCTCATAGCGTTTGCTGTTTGTTTATCTTCAGCTGAGGCTGAAGAGACAGAAACTGATGAATATCCTAACTCCCTTTCTCTGTCTCAAATATGAGACTGTACCCATATGAACTTTTTAGCATTTTTATGAGACAGGTAAAACTTTATTTTGGAGGCATTTATTCACCACTGGGATTTTTTATTTATTTGCTATATAAATGAAAAAGTCCAAACATTTTGAAAAAAAGTGTTTTTCTTATAAAAACATTTGCAAATAATCTTTCTTCATAAATCTTGGCCAAAATGTATTCAGCTATCTTCTTTTTTTAATAAAAAAAGACCCAAATTCGTTTATTACCAAAAATTATAATTTTCCCAAAAATGTTTTACATTTATATTTTATTTTTTTATTTGTTTTTTTTTGGGTTTTTTTTGCTTTTTTAACAGTCACCGTAGCAGTACAGTGTCAACATAGTGACACTGTACTACTTGTGGGGGTGATGAAGATTTATTTTTCTTTCTTTTCACTGATTGCTTTTACACAGATAAAGGCTGTAAAAACAATCATTCCTCCTTTTCTCTGGTTGCATTCCTGCAGCCATTGAGAAATACTGTGAGAGCTGTGATTGGTCACAGCTTGTCACATGGTACAAGACTGTTGTGAATAGCCTTGTACCATGTGATCTCTGTGATCATTCACAGATTTCACTAGTAGTAAGCAATGATGTCAGGAAGTGACATCTTGCTTACTACTATTCATGTGATCATTGATTAGCCAATCAGTGATCACATGAATTGGGACCTCACACAGAGGTCTCGTACAGCGATTGGTGTTCCGCTGTGTCCCAGGGAGCACGCACAGGCAGTGAATGCGAGGGCCATTTATAATCTTCAAACTGCTTCGGCACTGCTCCTGTCCAGCCAATTATGTACATGGGCCGGACGCGAAGTGGTTAAAGCCCAACTATTGCTAAAACTTTTTGTTTCATTTTAAATTAAAAATACACATTTTACTAGAAAGGGAAACGATTAAAACCGCTGACAGTGCTTTTATTGTCTCTCATCTTCATCCAATTACAACAATGTCACTATTTCTTTAACTTTATCACAGCAAGTGAGATAAATCCCCAGTGGTGCCACTGACTGGCTGGAGTTAATTCAGGGTACATTCCCACCAGGTTCCTTGGGACAGCGTTGTGCGGCCACTCCATCACAGTCCAACCACAGTCTCCTCTATAAGACAAGGCAAAATACCTTTGTCATTGCTAAGTCTGTTTCACATCCCTATAATATGGTGGTGTGCATGAAAAAAGTATCGTACTTTTATCCAGCACAGTGCAGTCACTGTATGCAAGCGGTGTGACATTTCAATAGCATTCATTTGAAAAAAAAAAGTGAACCGTTTGACGCTCTGGAATCAGCACATCAGCGCTGCTTGCACTGCAATGCACACCAGCAACTGCGTTGTAACGCATAATACAATGAAGTGAATACTCTCATTTTGTCTATTACATTGTAAATCATTTGCTTAGCTTTCACTGTGTAGTTAACCACTTGCCTACTGGGCACTTTTACCCCCTTCCTGCCCAGGCCAATTTTCAGCTTTCAGCTCTGTTGCATTTTGACAATTGTGCTGTCATGCAACATTGTACCCATATGAAATTATCTTTTTTTTTTCCCAATTTTTTTTTTGCAAACAGGTAATTGTTCTCCTTCACTGATGTGCATTGATGAGGAGGCACTGATGAGGCAGCAATGATAGGCGGCAATGCTCAGTGGTACTGATGGGCTCTAATAGGCAGCACTGAAGGGAACTGACTGGCAGCACAGATGGGCACATATTGGCAGTGCTAGTGGGCACTGTTTGCAATTGATAGACAGCACTGATGAGCACTTTTGGGGCTGCACTGATAATCAGTGCCCTGAATATCAGTGTAGATGTCTTCTTTCACACTTGTTGGTTATTGGTAGTACTTTCCTCACGCTGTGACATTTGTGAGGAAAGCACTGCTGATAACCGGCAAGTGTGTTTAAATCGTGATTAGCTGTGATTAAACACTGCTGATCACATGGTAAAAGGCCCCTGTGATTTGCCCTATACCATGACATGTTATCCTGTGTCCAAAGGACACAGCGATCACAGAGAGCGCTGGGTGCATGCCGCAGTGGGCAGGGGGAGGGTGCGTTTCTGGAAGGAAGTCATATGATGCCCTCCCAGAACTGGATGCTATAGCCGTCATTCGGCTATAGCACGGTCAACCAGTGGTTAATCGATGGATTGAGTAGGGTACAATCAACATGCCCATAGATGGATTGAATCTCAACCTTTTCCTGCTGAACCGGCTGCGATTTGATCCATCTATGGTCAGCTTTAGTAAATTCACCCCATTGTTTTCCAATTAACTTAAAACTTTTTTTGGATAGAGTGTGACATTTAATGTACAGGGTATCCCTTTGGCAGGAAAATATTATAAATCTCTACACTGGGGACACAGACGATAAGCAATGCCATAAGGTCTAACTTTTTTAGAATCATAGCATGTGGTAGGGAGCACA